TTGTTTGACATAGAATTGTTAAGAAGAAGGGGCAATCGACAAATTAACTGCATACAAAAAAATTTTACCAAAAGGTGTGTATGTCATAGCAACTAGGAACCCAAACTAACAGCAAGCAGTTCGCATGACTATGAAGTCCTTACAGGGAATTGAATGTCCGGCTAACTTTGAAGAGATTAGTGTAGACCTCCCTTGAGAGTGAAGCAACTGCTAGACGCAGGCGTGAGTTCACTTTAAATGAAATTTTTTTTAAATCGGAGATAGGTGCCAGTCGCAAGATTTTCATTGGAGCAAAAACTCTTAAATCTCCTCCTCGACCCCAGGCAATTGGGACACTCACTAGCCGAATAGCTCATCATTAATTCTACTTCTAGTCGACAATTCTGCTACATTTTGGAGGCTTTGCGAACTAATTTTCTGTCTACTAGGGATTTCCTTGTGTTATGGTGCACCCACTGTAGCATGAGAATTAATAAAAGTCATGATGATTTGTGTGTACCTTCTGGGTTGTCTTCTTCCTCCGGTGCAAATCAGTCCTCCATCGTAATCGGGTTGTTCACGGCAATCCGTCCATGCTCTCACTCAATGCGCTTTTAATCTCCGAGCAATCAGTTGCCTCTCCTGATCACTGGTTCATACAGGGGTTCATTTCTTATGCATTCCCTTGCAGTCGCATCTTCGTGGTTTGGTTAGCAAGATAAAGTGTGGACATTTTAACTGCTCTTGTCATGATTCTTTTGCATCAGCCCACCCGTAGGGCCACATCTTAACAGCCAATCATGAAAATGTATGCATGTTTATTGGTACAAAGAAGGACTCTATATTCAATACTTTTTAAGCTGAAATTGTAGTTTACTTTGGCATCCTTCTCATTACCACTTCAAAGATGGTTTTGAATGGGATGTGCCGACTAGCATGGCGATACTATGACAATGTCACATCGCCTTTTGCTGCACTCAGTACACTTTCTGAGGCATCACTGGAAGCGGCATAAGGACTTTGAGTGAGAACAGGGCTAAGCAAATAGCAATAAATTTCCACTCTTCGAGTTAGAACCTCTTATCACCGCCCTCCTGTCTCATTTTTGTTTCACTGTCAACTTTGACTACTTCTTTAAGGTCATTCCAAGTGTTTGAATATCAATCATAGGACCAGATCAGAACAACACTTGTTTAAAATGGATGTTGACACATTTGTTGGTGGAAGTGAATGAGTTCGTTTTTACCATTCATACTCAATTGCAAATGTACATGCGTTATTTGCATCTTTGATCACGAAATTCACAATAAAATACGGGATTAAACAATGTAGTCGTTTTAATGTCTTGCATTCAATTTTTTAGCTTTATTATGTGTTTTTTTTAGGGTAAAAACCTCAGCGAGCTACGCAAAAAGGCATCCAATCGGTCGTTTAGTCGTTCCACATCCCTACGCATAATTTGCAAGTGCTTGGACGCTTTAGAAGAGCTTCATAGTGTCGGTTACCTCCATCGTGACATAAAACCATCAAATTTCTGCCTTCGTCTGGACAATCCCATGGAGATTTGCCTCCTTGACTTTGGCCTCGTTCGTCCCTTTACAAGACCCGGTGGTGTCAATCAAGTCCGTCCTCCACGACCTTCAGCTGGTTTTCGAGGCACTGTCCGGTATGCCTCCATTAACGCTCACGAATATCGCGAGCTTGGGAGGCACGATGATCTCTGGTCCATGTATTACATGTTGGTGGAACTTCTTAGTGGTGAACTACCCTGGCAACGCAAAACTGGCAAGAGTTCGGTAAAACAGATGAAAATGGAAATTGATCCGGTGAATTTGGGTACTAGTGGTGGTCTTCCACAAACCATAGCTACTACATGGGTCCACGAATTGAAAAATTTAAATTACTATGCCACTCCAAATTATCGAGAATTACGCAAGGTGATTGAGGTGTGGCTTTCAGAAAATTGGATCAATTGGAATGACCCCTACGACTGGCAAAAACAGGTTGCGGGACGTCCTGAAAGTGAATCCACCTTTACACCGATGTATAAGCGAAGTCAACCCTCTGGATATCCGTTTGTGCAAAATGTGAAGCGTCCAGCTCATCACGACTCCACTGGATGTCTCAGACGTCTAGACAAACGTGGTTTCGGTTCAACGGCGGAGTTGAAACGACTTGAATCAGATGGAGGAGAGGGTGGAATAACAGCTTTTGGTGGCAGAAGCACAGCAGCATTATGCGAGGATGCAACTACAAACAAGAATATGGCGACTGAGAAGATAATGCAGGAGGATGGACATGGCAATTTTGAAGACGTCTCCGAGAAGATGGATGGCAAAGAGAAAACCCTGGGCAGTCACAATGATTTACACACTGTTGGTGATGGTCAACGAAAATCCACCGAGACTGCTGATAGACAATTTCTTGCCACTTCAAAGGGTTTGGGTAAGCTACCTTTATCACCTTTTTTAAATGCATTTAAAAGTGGTGATTTTTTTTGTCGCTTTTTTCTCTACTCCACTTCCAACTTTTCTTTGCTTTACTCTTTCATCTTGCTCTCTTTAACCTGTGTTATTGTCTGCTCTGTCTCCTTCTCTCTCTCTCTCTCTCTCCTTTTTGTCTTAGGATGGTAGTAGCAGGTGGCAAGTGGTAAGCCGACTAGAATTCGCGGTGTCAATGCATCCTTGTCAACTAAGATTCAGTGTCATAAAGTGCATCAACACATTGTCTATCATTTTTCATTGTTAAGTTGGAAAAAAGTCCATATTTAACTACATGCTTTTCTACTTTTCCTTACTTTTTTTCCACCTTCGTTTCATTTTCACAAATCACCAAGTCCCCCACTGAGTCGTCCCTAAAGCATCCTTTAAATTTGCTTCCCCTTGAGCCTCACTTAGGAGTGACTGTAGCATCGAGGAGGGACGGGGAGAGAGGAGAGTAGAATGAGAAGTTGTTCCTAATGTCAACACTGTGGCAAGTCCCCCACCTGTCTACTTAAATACTTTTTAGACACGGAAAGGCAGCCTGCAAACATCAATCTACGCCAAAAAATCTTGTCTGTCATCACACTGGGGCGCAAAACATCCGACAGTAAGGTTTCACTCGCTTGAAGCCAACACTAGGCCTAGACGTTTCCTCATTCCACCACCAAATTGACAACACCACCACCACCACTACCACCGTCACCACCATCACTACCAACAGCAACAACAACAACAACAACAC